CGATTTATGTCCAATTCGACTAAGGTTAACGGTTGTAAAACCAAGATCATCTACTTTAAGACCTTTATTGTTGTCAACCCAATCACATTTCAATAACACAAACTTTAAATCATAGTAATCCAGCTCCCATATTTCTTAAATTACTCCATAAAATGTCATGTCTGAAATAACAGGACTCTTATCTTTAGCGCTGGCAACTTGCATGGTCTTGGCAACTAACTTAACACCACTATTTTGGACATTTCTTATTTCATCACGTTCTCTCGTGTGATAGTGACAACCATCAACCATATAACCAGCATATGTGGCTACCTCTGGACGGGGACCATTAGATAACCATCTTAAAGTAGGTGATATAGAGTTGTTTGGGATCTCAAGTGCAAGTGAAACCTATATAAACAATCTAGAATTATTAATCTATTTAAAATACATACATACMTTTTAAAAAATATTAAAATAATTTTACCCGTTCACGTAGCCAAGAAATAAATGTACAGTTGTGTTTGTCTTGTAACCATTTTCCATTCTTCGACATTCTTTTATTGACTGTTTTCAAAAACTTCATGTGTTGCCTATAGCAAACGATACGTCACATGTTATTAAAATAAATAAACACAACATAAATCAATTTTGATGAAAAGCGTACAAAAGTTTATATGTACTCTATAAATGAAAGTACATCACATGTGTTCTCTTGAACATAAAATGTGAGCTTGATCCAATAGTTGTTTTCCTGGTCTGACGGAAGACATAGCTGATAACGGCCTTGTTATCGAATCTTTGCTTTTTACATTGGAACCCAATCCAATTGGATCCATCTCAGATAAAAATTCAGAACAAAATTCCACAGCTTCTTCTACAATGTAACATTCTCCAATACATCCTTCTGGTCGATTTCGATTTCTCACRTAACCTTTTMAAACTTTCATGTATCGCTCAAAAKGATACATCCATCGTAAATARACAGGCCCACAAAGCTGCACTTCTCTCACTAGGTGCACAGTAAGGTGAACCATGATGGTAAAGAATGATGGTGGAAAATATTTTTCTAGTAAACATAAAGTGATCACTATTTCATCTTGCAAATTCTGAAGCTTGGAGGGATCGATCACTTTACTACATATAGCATTGAAGAAAAAATAGAATCGAATGATGGCATATCTCACATGTTTTGGTAAGACCCCACGAATTGCCATAGGTAGCAACTGTTGCATGAGAACATGATTGTCATGAGATTTGAGACCATAAATCTTCAAGTCAGTGAGTGACACAAGATTTCGTACATTGGTTGAGTATCCATCAGGGACCTTAATTTCGGATAGTGATTTACACATACTCAGTTTCTCCGGACGTGATAATGTATAACATGCTGGAGGTATGAAAGTTCTCTTTCCATTTACTTGTGGAGCTAATTCTGTCCTTATATTTAGCTCAACCAAATCTTGTCGAATCTTCAATCCATCTTTCGTTTTTCCAGGAATATCAAGCAATGTGCCAATTATATTTGTGCACACGTTTTTTTCAATGTGCATTACATCTAGACAATGTCGTACATGAAAACTTTTCCAATATTCTAACTCAAAAAATATTGATTTTTTCTTCCAATAACAGTTAGAACTATTTGCTGCTTTATTTTCCTTTCTATTCATTTGACCTAATACAGTTTCAAGTTTACTTGTTCTAACAAAAATGTCCTCTCCACTTAATGTCTCTGGTGCTAGTTCAAATTCTTGTTCACCATTGAAAGTCTTCTTCTCATTTCTATATGGGTGATATCGGGGTAAAAAACGACGATGTCCGAGGTATGCTATTTTGTTTCCATGTTTCAATCGAATGGAAGATGTATTTTCTCCACAAATCGGACATGCATGATACCCTTTTACACTACAACCACATAAATTTCCATATGCTGGAAAATCGTTTATAGTCCACAATAAGATAGCTTTTAAGACAAATGTTTAATCTCGATACGCTGATCATAACATGCAACCCCCTCAGTCCATAGTTGTTTTAGATCATCAACCAAAGGACCAAGATATATGTCTATATGATTTCCAGGTTGTTTAGGACCAGATATTAATGTGGTTAACATCATAAACTTTCGTTTCATGCACCCATGGTGGGAGGTTATAAATAACCAATATAACTGGCCAACAACTATACCTACTACTAAGATCACCATGTGGATTAATTTCATCAGTAGACAGTGCTAAACAGAGATTTCTTGGCTCAAAACCAAACTCTGGCCAAAGATTGTCAATTAATTTCTAAGAAGGAGAATCCACAGGGTGTCTTAAAAGCCCATCATTTTCTCCACCTCTAGCATGCCAATTTAACAATTTAGATATTTTAGCAGTTCGAAACATTCTTTGGAATCGAGGAATCGGAGAAAAGTACCACATGACCTTGGCCGAAACACCTTTTTTCTCTTCTTTGGAGTTCTTAAGAAGCTTCCATCTCGATGTTTTGCAAATTGGACATGCATCTACATCAGAAAGGTCTTTCCTAAACAGACAACAATCATTGACACAAGCATGAATGTTCTCAAACTTCATTCCAAGAGTAGGCAATGTCTTTTTAGCTTTATACATAGAAATTGAGATTTCATTCGGTTGTGGTAGGATATCATGTACTAGAGTTAACAATTCAGTGAAACTTTTATCACTYCATCCATATTTAGCCTTCAAGTTATATAATTTTAGCAATGCAAAGACTTTAGTGAAATTTTTATTGCTTGAGTACAATGGTTTCTGTGCATCAATCAACACTTGTTCAAAGTTTTCAGACTTATTTGAAAAATAGTCTTGTGCAGCTTTAAACATATTAGTTGTATTCTTTATGCCATCATCATCATAATCTTCTTTTCCCTTAGTAGTACCACTTTCATCCTTATCCTTCATAGGTAGTTGCTCACCATGCCAAATCCATATCTTATAACTCTTATCAATACCATAAATAGATAAGTGTTCTCTAACTATGTTCAACTCTTGTAGAACTGCATTTGCACAGTTCAAGCAAGGACACCATATACAGTTTGACCCTTTTGAATGTCGTAGTCCATTTTCAATGAAGTTCTCAACACCCAAGTTATATTCCACTGACATTCTATCTTTGTTCATCCATAACTTATCCATATATAATAACTAAATTATCTACAAAGAAAAAAGGAAAAAAGAAGATGTAACTTCAAACGAATAACTATGTTAAAATGATGGAAAGAAAAAGTGAAATCATCGTTCTAAGTCACAGTAATGTATATATAGCACATATGGGGCTTTCCATCCATCTACAAGCCACGTGAAACTTACAAATATAAGAAAAATTTGTTAAAAGAAATAAATACAAGATTCTATAACATTTTAACTTGAACAAAAGACCGATCAACTGAACAAGAGGCATGAAACTTCCATTACTTCCATTAGTAGTTCTGAAAATCCTATTCCCATTAAATTTTTCAAAAGTATGTGGATAACGTTGTGAAAGTATAATGACTGTGACTAAAAGTTTAAAGGACGTATCATGGTCAAAACAAACATTTAAAAAATACAAAGAACAAAATAGTATTTAAATCTTTACTTATTTGAGACTAATGTTCATAAACAACCATTCAGTTTTCGGTGGAGGATGAAGTAATCTATGATAAAGAAATTGTCTTGGAGAGARTGTGGAAGATGAAGGCATTGCGGCAAAAGATAATTGTACTATGCTTTTCTACTCCCATTTCTTATATCACATCTTTGGCTGTTGGCTGTTTTATTTCATCGTAGGAGGACTTGAGAAGGGAAAAGTCAGCAAAATCCCGATACAATGTCTGATCATTGACTCAGTCACATGTGCTGCTAAATTTTGAGGATAATACCAAACGATATATTTCGACATACTCGTTATTGTTATCTCTTTTTGAGTCTGTTTTGAATTGCTCAGAATTTTCCTTGATTGCCTCTACTGTATTCAATGTTCATTCTCTTTCTTTTTCGAATTCCTTGCATTCCAACCTACTCCTTATCTAAAATTATGAACTTATAAATTATTAAAATATTATGGGGGAAAAATTGAAATACACACAACAGTAAACAAGAATTAAAATAACTAAAATAACAATCAAAGTACCTAACATTAATATTAAAATAACCCTAAAATTAAAATTAACAAAAATTTCTCAGCAATCTATAACCCAATCCATGTCTACAGTCACAAATACAACAAAAAAATCAGTAAAATAAAACTAAAATAGATGGTAAACGTATAAAATAAGGCCTAAAATAGTACTAACATCGTGGATACTAAAATAAAGGTATTTGGAAAACGACAACAACCTTTGCGTACTGTGGGGCCTCCGTAGACTTTAACTTATGGCTCAAATGCTGCAAAAGCACGTGGAAGGAGAAATTCGTATAACGACAAAAAATTCGTTGGGGTCAGTGAAGGGGACAAGTGCGTTGGGTCTCGATTAAAGAAAGTATCAAACAAAATTAAAAATTATCGACAAACAAAAAAGTACGAAAGTAGAGAGCTTACGGCTTTGACGGTTGAACTTACGGCTGGAGGACGAAAACGACGTCTCTTGGAAAAGGTGGACGAAAACGGAGAAGGTTATGGCTGGAGGAGAAGGTTACGGTTGGAGGAGAAGGGGTTACGGCTGGAGGGTTTCAAAACGACCAAAACGACGTCATTTTGAAACCCTAATGTTTTTAAAACAAGGGTTCAAAACGACGTTGTTTTGTGAATTTTAAGTTTTAAATCAATTGATAAAACGACATCGTTTGCCTAAGTTTTAAATCAATTGATAAAATGACATCGTTTGCCTTAAAGCAAAACGACGCTGTTTTAGATAACGAGGGTGGGAGTTTTAAACATAAAATAAAACGACGTCATTTTGAACCCAAATGCACGTGCTTTAATGTCAGTTTTAAACTGACATTGTATAATGTATTTAATGCCAGTGTTAATTTCAAACGCAAACGACGTCGTTTTTCAATTCCCAAATTACGTAATTTTAAAATGAATCGTGCGCGCCTATTTCTCTTGTCTAACCATGACGTTTCTCAACCGACATTAATTGACATGTATTAATGTCGGTTCTTAACCGACATCGAATATGACATTTTCGGAAAATAAAGCGCCTCACTATAAAACTGACATCATTTAGTCAATCGACATTGTTTATAAATGACTAACTGACATGGAAGGTAACAATTGTTGTAGTGTTAGTTGCAAAATACTTAGATTTCTTAAAAAAAATTAGACACAAGAAACAAGAACATTACCCAATGATCCATGAATTAACAAACATATATATTTATTACAAAATGATGAGACCTCGGAAGCTCTACCACTTTTTTTTTTCCTTTTATTTTTTCAGTTTGCATATGATGCCTCTTGAATGTGCTACCTACTTGACCTGAATTACTTGGAGAAGTAAAGATTGTCCTTATATACAAATATGAAGTCTTTCAACATATTTGGTCCTCACTCACATACTTCTTAAAAAATTCTAAAAAGGCCACTCAACTTAGGAGCAATGATGCGTGGAGGTAGAAAGCCTACAGGCCGTGAACTTCTTTTTCCGGAGAAGAAGCAATGACGGTATATGGGAATAAGCATCGGCTAACTCTGTGCCAGCAGTAACGGTAATTAAGAGGATGCAAGCTGTTGAGTGTGTTGCCCTAAACTCGTGGTTTGTATTTATGTAAATATAAATGTATATTTAATAAAGTTTGATTCAGCAAATTTTTTGTTGAATTCATAGTATTGCATTATCCAAAATCCAATAAACTAAACATCCAAGGTTATTATCATGTAACCAGAACAGTATATCTATTGGGTATATATTTGATATACTGGCTATATATTTGATATACCCCTAATATACTAGATATATATTTGATATACCCATGATATACAAGTGGATAATGCTGAGTGAATAACCTAAATGGTCTATAGTATATGGATAAGGTTGGGTACCTTATCCTAGCAACACTATGGATACGACCCACTTTGTAAATGTTACAGACGACTCGATCCAGGTCGTTCGTGTGGAGACATGCGAGTGGGGGTATCCTATACAATGAGTTTGTATAAGACCGGACTGCGAATAGTCAATCTTTAGATGTAACACTGTTGACCAACAGATTGCTATTTCACAGGATAACCAGACAACTCATTCTCAATCCTGAGTGAGTTATGAACTCCTGCCCGTGAGAGCTCGTCCTTTGATCTGTATGCGTGAGAATGGCTCGAGTCGCCGGCTCTATATTTCTACCATTTTGGGGACGAGATCGAGTGGGGAGCTGGGAATATAACTTTACAATATGGAATTCACTCCTCCCCGACTTTAGGGAGTAGATGAGTGTTCTCTTAAATGCTGATTCCAGAACTTGAACAAAGGGCCCCACTACCCTCTCACTGGCCCGAGAGGGATTTCCGGTTATTGATCGAACCATAATCAGGTTGTTCATTAGAGGAGCAGTGGTATTTAAAGAGAAAGATGTAACTCAGGGGTAAAACGGTAATTTGACCCAACTTGAATTACGAGCACTTATGAAGGATTGACCTGTCATTAATGGTCGTATGGACACGAAAACATTATGTAGTGAGAAAAGTGCAACTGCGGGTCTTTAGTGGAGTGACCCATAATTAACGAATGTTGATTAACTTGGTTAATGAGTTTGACCGATTAATCTCGCATAGTTGGCGCTGTCCATTAGGTCCCCTTACTAGCTCATAACGGGTAATACGAGGATCAAATTTTTGAAAAAATTTGAAATGTTCAAATTGCTCAAAGGATTATATGTATAGTGATACATTATAATATATAGTTGAAACTATATATTATGAGAGAAATTATTTGAGTTAGATTCAAATAAAATTAATATGAATATGATTCATATTAAAACTATAGATTAAAAATAATGTGCATAAGATGTACATGAAAAAAATGCTATAGAATATGGTTGTATTTTTATAATAAATAATTAAGTATTAATTATTTATTTGATATAATATTAATGATTGTTATTTATTAATAATATTAATATAATTATAATTAATATATAACTCGCCTGTAAAAATGTAGGGGAGTGGGGAGTTGTCACAAGTTTTAGTTTTGTTTTTGCACAAAAGTTCGGCTAAGTATAGAAAAAGAAGCTCTCTCAATCAAGCTCTCTCTTCTCCATTCCCTCTAGTTCCATATCGAACGCTCCCACAATCGCATTCTTGTATCCAGAGGATAGTAAGGAAGTTCTATTGGTGGTGTTCGGGTTAATCCATTGAAGAAACATTCTTCAAAAGTAAGGGAAACATTTCTTTTCCCCTATATTTACTTTTGCACATTGTGTTTTGTTTCTCAAAATTGATGATCGAAGATTATTGCTTCCGCTGCGGGATTCACATCCTATCACAAGCGTTATCTGGAATGATTATTGGGCATAAAGCGTCTGTAGGTGACATTTAAAAGTCTGCCGTCAAATGCTAGGGTTCAACCCTTGTTAAGCAGTGGAAACGACCAAGCTGGCCAATTACGGTAGGGGCAAAGGGAATTTTTGGTGGAGCTGGAAATGCATAGAGATCAGAAAGAACACTAATGGCGAAAGCACTCTGCTGGGTCTAACACTGACATTGAGAGACGAAAGCTAGGGGAGATCAATTCTCCAAGTCAAGCATGTTTAAGTTTGAATTTCTTATGTTTGGTCAAAAGAAAAAAAAGTACGTCGTGTTAGTATCGATAACTATTCTAAATTCTTCTACGTATTTTTTTAACCATTTTTTGCATGATCTCAGAATCCTTCTCACTCAGCCAATTTATATATTTGTCCATCCCTCCTTCATCGAGTGTCACATATATAAAGTTATATATATCGAGATTATTAAGCATATCAACAAGTTTGTCAATTATTTGCCGATGACAAATCTTATTTGGTGGGGGAGTAATAAACCTTTAACAAATTGGTTGTAGTAAAAAATCACGTCAACCCAACTTGACAACATAAATTTATAAACGTAGGTACAAAATTTGAAAATTCCAACATCTTATATTTTCCTTTTGCCTTTTTTTAAGTTAGAAATTTAGTGGGAATATATTAGCGTTACATGGAAACCCAAATTAGTTGACATTCTAATCCAAAAAGAAAAGTTAACGATTTTCTACAACAGTTTCTTTATTGAAGAACAATTAATGGCTTCGATTTTCAGAAATTGAGATCATCAAGGGGACCTACTGAGTACTGATTCAAATGAAAGGAACTGAGAACGAAAAGAAATTTGGGTTTCTTTTTTCTGTTCTATATTAAATAACTTGAACTAGCCAATCAGATTTGGACACCTGATCTCACACGTGGCTGGTCATTGCAGCCAATCGCAGACGATAAAAAAAGCTTCCCTTTTCATTTACTAAGAGAAACTGAAGAGATTGATCCATTTAACTGATAAATTTTGATTTTTTTTTTTTGATTCGAAAGAACAAAACGTGTCAACAATCTGTGTTAAAGAAACTGCTGTTGCTTAATTTCCTTTCAGTACGGGAAATTTTGGGGGAGGAAGGGAAAGGAGGAGGAGGGAGGGAACTGGAAAGTTGGGGAAATGAAATGAAATGAAATCGGTTCCTGAATCCGTGTCCTCTTTTTCTTCAGTGTCCTCCATTGTTGGTGTTGATGAAAGCTCCACTCTGATTCCAGGTCTTCCCAATGATGTGGCAGCTCTGGTTCTGTCCTTCGTCCCTTACTCCCACCACGCTCGCCTCAAATCCACCTCCAAATCATGGCGTCTCTTCTTCTCCTCCAAAGCCCTGATTTCGCTTCGATTCACCCACCAAAATTCCCTCTCTCAACTTCTCTGCCTCTTCCCTCAAGACCCTTT